GGGACTGAGAATAAGAAGAAAAACAGAGTTAAAGTGTGTTTTGTGTCATGTGATGCATCTCCTGACTTGAACCAAACATTAACAAGCTTAGAAGCTTATGTAACTCTCCAGACTTTAGCTGGATGACAACAAACTGTAGATTTCATCCTCTGGATAGGTTATTTTATTTCTTCCAAAATATATATTTGCTTGTTGTTTACATCAAGTACTTGAAAAAAAGGTAGTAGTAAAGAGTTGTACAGTGTACTGCAATTGTGTGTGTTGAGAGCATGATAAAGGTGGGTGAAAGGTGCTTCTTTTCTCCGTGGCCTTAGATACCCACCTGCTTAGTGTTCCCATACCTATTACTTCTCATCTAGGGCACCGTCCTTTCAGTGCTTCAGAGCCCGTTAGGTTTGTTTTCTCTCTCTTCTCTTTTTTTCTTTCTTCTTTTTTTTGGTACTGCTACCTGGCCCTGGCACTCGGCTGAGAACTGTCTTAGTGAGATGCAGTAAAAGGAAAGGTGAAGAGGCTGTGGCCTTGCTTAGGTAGACGTTGCCTCGTGCAGTACTCGGCATCCTGAGCTGTTTGAAGAGAAGTCTTGAGAAATGAGGAGCAATGGAGAGGTAGAAAGAGTGAAAACCCCTTTAGCTCTAGTTTCCTACTCCAGCTTTGAAGCTTCTCTTTGATCTGAGTCAGTTGTGTTCACAGTGTGATCAGGAGATGTAAAGAAAAAAAAACATCAAACTAACAGGCAAGGAGAAATGCAGGCTGAGGTGACGACTGAGTGCTATGACTGTACCCGACCAGTGGGGGCAGAACTACGAAAGACCATTTCATCTGTTTATTCATCTGAAAAAGCAGCTTCTTACAGAAGAGCTTTGCCAACACAAAAGAGAAGATATTAGATAACTTATAACATAACTGCCTTAGCCGAGTTTGATTCTTAAACTTAAGTTTTTTGGTTTCTTTTTCTTTGCAGTGAACATGACATTGATTCGAAAACTTTGTATGTTGTTTGCAATAACTTATTTCACAAAGTACGAGAACTGATCTTTTAGTAATGAAATCTGTTCATGATCATAAGATCATATTCTTGAACTTGGGAGATCCATAACGTTTAAATTGTAATGCCCAGATCTAGTAACTATTGATAATGTTAAAGTTTTGCCATAAGTTATTTAGTTTTTTCTGTGTGTTGTGAACGCAATACACTTCTGTACCTTCTTGCTACTTAATCCTCTGCTCAACATCTACAGGTACACAATTACACACACAGTACAGACTCAAAGCAGAAATCTTCTTCCTTTTGATTAAGGTGTCTTCCCAATTTCAGCGAATAGAATTGTATCCTCCTCATACCTCACATTGCTTTTATGTAAGTAATGCTTTTTATCATTTTAACAGGACCTAAATGCCTTTTCCTTCTCCAAGGAATAAAATGTATGTTTATTACAGTCCTTCCAACTCTTAGATGAGCTCGCCCTATACAGAATAGTGATGAACAAAATCAGGCACGCAAGTTGGTGAAGAATGGCTTTGATTGTTTTTTTATTTTGTCTTTGTGTGTGATTTTTTGCATGCATTACAATTTATGTTTTAGTCATGCCTGGTATTCCATATCGATCTGCACCATCGTCAGCCTAATGGCAATTCTTCCATTTGCAGATGTCTTAAATCACAGCTGAATGCACCTTTTTTTTGTGAAAGAGATTTTTTTTTTGTTACTAAATAATAGCTTGTTTCCATGCTGTATGCTCATTTCTAGAAACCTTTTTAATTCAGTTTGAACTGAGAAGAAAAGAAGTTTGTTTACTCTTTCTGCAGTGCAGAATCCCATTTGACTGCCAGTTGTGTGATATGGAGAGATGCTCATGAACACAACCTCTTTTCAGATGAAGTTGATTACTAATTGAAGATGCTTTGTGCTCTTTTTGGCTCCTGGTGAAGTGTGCTGCCGAAGAGATGGTGTCGTGGCTTCGACTGGCGTATGCCATTCCTTATACAAAACAAAGAATTAAATTAGCATTTCTTGTGTTTGCTTTTTGGCATCAGACAGGAACTGAAAAATCCAGATCAGTGTATTGCTCACCACGTATTAAATGAGTATCCTTCCATTATAAACACATTGTAAACAAACCCTTTGTAGACACTGGAGTTCTGTAAAATAGTAATTACTGGCGATGATGATGATGATTATAATAATAATGGCTGTCTGTTCTTGTTTTATAAAAGTGTTGTGAAAAATTGTAAGAAACTTAAAATATTTAAAAAGGTTGTTCTCTTGTTTTTTATTTGCTTTGATTTTGTTATGATAATATATTATTGTGTACCTAATGTAAATATGAAGCACACCTATTTTGCAAGCCAAGGATTCACTTTGTACTGTTGTTATATATAAATAAACTTTGCTGGTTAAAAATTGCGTAGAACCAAAAATCAGTTATCACGTTATTGTCTTTGTTTTAAGCCAATGGAAAGAGAGACGACTTGCAGCTGGTTCTGAAGCGAGTCCTCAGGTGTTTTGTATCTCCGAAGGCAGGGGTTGCCCCCCTCCTTCTTCTCCCCAAGAGCTACAGTTCCAACAGAGCTTAAAGTTCGCCAGTACTGTGCCGGAGGGCTGTTTTCAATTCATAAATGTATAATTATATTTCCAAGGAAGTATTCTCACTCATTTTTCTAACTGTTGCACAGCAAGAACAGTGCTGCATCGGTTTTTACACGGCTATAGGAAGCTTGTATTTTGTTTTCCCCAAATAGACATGCATTATTATCACAGTAAGCATTTGATTACATAGTGGCTCAAAAATGTATGCAACTATTTGGTTTTGATTTTAAATCATGGTGGGCAGTGGGCACAGTATGTTATATATTTTTATGTTTTGTTTATATATATATATACATACATACATACATACATACATACATACATACATACATACATACATATACATATATATATGACCTACATGTAGGTTTTACCACAGCTGTCATTCCTTTTCTTTCTAGTCTACAGCACCATAGGCTATGTTTTGTAATTTAAAAACTGTAAGATGCAGAGGATGATAAATTTGTTGAACTGCTTTGCTTTTGTATAAGCATGGGGAGATGCACCCTAGTGGCTTAATGAAAGAAGGTTGTTTCAAAGCACTTTCACTTGTGAAACTACAACCATCTTTTACATCCAATCTGTGCTCCACGCTCACTGACTCAGACATTGCAGTCCACTCCAGCTTTGACTGTAAAGGTTTATGCCACTGCTACACATTTTCAGCTTATTATGCAAACCTTTTTATATACATTATAAATATACATTTTTCTTTGGTTCTGCAAGAAAATATAATTTATATTTTGATGCTACTGTACTTGAGGAAGCCAGAAAGCATGAAAACAGGTTAACAAAAAGTTTAATGGCTACTCCTTGACCTTGCTTCACAACTCTGTTAAGTTTAGTAAAAGTCAGAGTGGGATCATTTATTTACTTCTTTCTTTATTAGCATAGTCCTGCTGACATCAGTTGCCTTGAAAACTTGATCTTAAACAGGATTTTTACATTTGTGCCAATCTGAGAGAAAGGGAGACTCAGACCAACATTTTTCCACCATAGTCCAACTCGGTGAGAGATGTCCCCTGTGTCGTAGTCTGCTGTAGATTCTCTTCAAGACAGCGACTTGCAAGTTGGCAAAAACTGAATGTGTTGTGAAATTAGGCATTATTAATTTCCACAGAATAAAAAAGTAAATATGCAGTAAAATAACATTTAAAGTTGTTTCTTTTGCCAAAAAAAGAAAAAAAAAGAACAGAGCACGAGGAGCACAGTGAGCTGTGTAAATGTCAGCTATAAGCTATCTGTAGTTCTGACTCTGAAGACACTACAAATTTGAAGCAGTATGGATATGGCAGTCACAGCTTTAGCATCGTTAACTCAATAAGTAACAGACACCAGTGAGAAATGAATTTCAGGTGTGAGGGGAACCAGAGGAGAACTGTGATAAGTGACCAACATGAGCTGCTTTCCTTTTCTTTTACAAAACAATAATTTAACCTTAGCTGATACTTTAAGACAAAACAGAAACAGCTTTGTAAAAAAGAAAGTCATGATTCTCATCTATACTAAAAACCAGCGTCGTATGGAGACTTTTACTAAAAGGCAATCAGGGACTATGCTTCCCTCCGCTCACCCACCCAAATCATCCTCCTCCTCCACTATTTAACAATTTAACAAAACAAATTCGATGAGATTAAAATATGCCATTTGTGTTGCCTGTCTTCACTCTGCATGGAAGTCTTAATTTTTCCTCACTTCTTACTGGTAAAAGAGTTGTAAAATATTACTACTTGTATAGTTAAATGCATATCTACTATAGATAGTGAGAAGTGGTGGAGGACTTTTTCAAACCATTCATTTTAAATTATTTATTCTATTTAATTTCCTGCATCTTTTTCTAGAAAATGATATATTTGTGGTGACTGGGGAAAAAAACAGTTGTTCATAAGTTCTGAAACAAAACAAAAGTATACTAAAATATACAAATAATCAAAAGAAATTAAAAGGCTTGTTCCTCAGCCAAGTTACCAAACATGTTTTTTTTCCTTCACATCAGATTTCAGAAGTAAAGTGTTGACATTATCTTTATTGTTATTGCACAAAAGGACAAGAGCATGACGGTAAAGACAAATAACGCAAAGCTGAGTGTATGCTGACCCCATCTGAGCACCCACACCCTGATCCTCAGCAGGCAACAAAGACGATGATGAGCAGTCAGGCTTGAAATCTCCATTTCTGCCTGTTTATGTTTCTAAATTAAAATCACTGTGGAGATCGCTTTAAGGTCTCTTTGAGGTGGTTTTCAACTTAGCATTGTGTTTGTATGTAAGAACTAAAAGAAACATTGTATGCGTGTCTTGTGTTGTCTGGGACTGTAGCCTGTGGTTTATATTGTTAACTGCTAATTATGAGACAATGGGTTTCAGACCATTTTACAGAGTAACAGA